ATAATATATATGTATATATATGATATACACAAACTATGTGTAAATATATTTAAATAGGCATGCAAAGTTTAGTTCAATTGAATGTGTTATTTATAACAATAGTAGTTTTTCTTTTAAAAACATAACTATTTATAATGCTCCCTCAATAATAAAAAATAAATTACATTGAAAGCAATGAAGATTTTGTAGGTTTTGAACCAAACTAAATAACGGTAAACCTTTTTTTGATTTACGGTATTTTCTTATTTTGGTGTTTTGAGCTCTTTTGTGTTTAGATCAATATATATACTAATTTTTAAAGTATCAAATTGAATTTTTGTTCAATAAAAATCTTTCAAATGCGACTGTAGCTTTTTTTCCCCAAAAAACTTTGTCTTCAAAATAAGGGTGCATCTTATACACCGGTGCGTCTTATATTCCGAGAAATATGATATTTTTATTTTCTATCATGGGCTGTATCTGTACCAGCATATTGTGTTTGAAATATATTTATGTGAACTTTGTAAAAAAGTTCGCAACATATATTTAATGAGTCATTATTAGTCTGACATATAAATCAATTAAAAAATAATATCTTAGCTTTGGGAATAATGTCAAATTGATATAATAATGGGTACTTCTGGTAATGTGTATGGGCATAATAACAAATTGGTAGAATTATGGGGGCTTCTGATACTGCTCATGGGCATAATATCAAATTGATATAATAATAAATGCTTCTGATACTATGTATAGGCCCAATATCAAATTGATATAATAATGGGTATTTCTGATATCAAATTTATATACACTTGCACTTAGAGGAACTCTGTTCAAATCTAAACATTCCTGACCTGTTAAAGATAATTCATTTTTTCTTTTTGGCCTCTAGAACTCTGTTGTGAATGATATGTATGTTATAAGGTATTATAATTTGTCAAAAACCAGCTAAATAAGAACTCATTTTCAGATAGTTTGCTTTAGAAATTCTAAAGTGATAAACTATTCATATTTTTTGGAACATATTTATTATGATATAATCTTATTCTTTATATGAGCACACTTTGTGATAGATTTGAGTATATGTGTTGTTTTTGATTGTTTTATAGACATACAAGTTATGAAAATATACTAGAATTCTGAAGTATATGTTTAATTTGCTATAGTTTCTCAATATGGTGACTGCAGCTTCGATGATGATGATTGGCTGACTTCTTGTGATTGGCGACTTCTTGAGGACTCAAATTTTTATTGGTCTAGAGCCCAGAAGTCTCACAGCAACCAGACTGGTCCAGATAGAGATCAGAACCAACGTCAGAAAGGTTTGGAACTTGAAATCTCTCTTATTAATGGAATGTCCATTTTCATTTGTTCTAATTAATAGTTGAGAGTTCTTAGATTTAATATTGCATAAGTTGTGTGATTTCATTCATAAAATGAAGTGTTTTCAGAATATAAATACACAATTATGTGGTATTAGTGGGAATAGAATAAAAATGACAAATAAATGACAAAATTTTTACAGTTTGCTTCAATTAAACTTTCTTTTTTTTCTTCAAACATATTAGGTAGATGTTGTTTCATAGTTTGCTTTTAATGAAGAACCTGTGTTGGTGTAATTAGCTTGGGAACACTATTAATTATACTTTCCAGTATTTCTAAACTATATTTTGCAAGTAATGCAATGTAATCTACATGGGAACTTTGTTTTGAGAAAGAGAGTTATATCTTTCTTTGCTGTCTGGTTGGAGGCATTGACTAACGTTAAGCTATTTCATAGATATTGTTTCTTCATATTTTAATTTAAAAAATCACTTTTTTTGTGCAAACTCAGCATCTACTGTATAAATACTACAGCTTTAATCTTTTTGCCTATGATATGGTATATTTTGTTTAAAAAAAAGTTTAGTAATAAATTGAGCTTGACTTCTGTACTTAATTAATACATCATCAAAATAATAAAATGCAGTTCTTAAGTACAAGTGGGAGAGGTTTTATTTTTAAAGCCTTGTCAACTTTTGTAAATTCAGGTTTTTAATACATTTGTTATGAATGAATTATTATGTTCTTGCATAACTGGCTATTTATACACTTTATTAACAGTAAGAATATTTACTAAGTTGATTTGACTACAGTGTGTCATTTTACAAAAAATTTTAGCATATGTTAATATATTACTTAGTAGATTTTTACACATACATTTCATATTGATGTGGGTTAATGTCAAATTAGAATTTAACAACTTTTTCTTGTCTAATAATTTTTGAAAATGTTTAATGATTCAAACTGTATATTAACATAATAAGTATTTTCTGGGGAACCAGACCTTTGCATTTTGCACTGAAATGGGTTTAAAACATTAAACAAATTTCTTGTGATTTCTGAGAGTTAGAATTAAAATTTACAAAGAAAAGCTATTCAGTATTTTGTGGGGAAACCAAACCTTTGAATTTTGCACTGAAATGGATTTAAAACATTAAAAAAATTTCTTGGGATTTCTGACGGTTAGAATAATTAAATATTGCAAAGAAAAGCTGTTCAGTCTTTCAATTGGACAAATGATAGACTATTAATATCTCACTTAACAAAAACCTTCTATAAATATGCTAAACATTTTCCAAGTCACGGTGGTTACACATATTTTGATTAATTATATAGATTAGAAGATATAGATGATATTAAATAATTTGCGTTTATAAGTTTTTTGATATACAGTAATGGAAATAATCATGGAAACACACAAGCAATATACATACAGAAGTCAAACAACAAGTTATAGCAACTAATTGTATTGTTAGTATAAAGCATTATCATATCTTGTTTTTATGCTGTTATACAGTTAAACAACTATATTGTTTCCAATGTCTTATATTATCATAATTTAACAAAGTATTTCGGTTACCTTTTAACCTTCCCAGTTTTTACCTAAGCCCATACAGCCTCAAGATTGTTCATATCGGAACTTGGTGCATGTGAAGCCCTGGTTGTGGGTTCCATTGGTTTCTTTAACATCAAATATTATTTCATCATGTTGCAGTTTGTTTGGGGTCACTGCCTTGCTGGATGAATTGTGGTCTTGGATGATTGATCAAACTTTGTCTATATTTGTTAGCAGTCATGGTGACATCAATTTTGTGTAGATCACCAACACCACTGGTTGAGATACAACTCTAAATTTGTATTGATCTCACACCATGCTTCACTGTAGATGTAGTGTGTTGACTATGATACCACTCTCTTCTTCACTTTTGCACAAACTATTGTTGATTGTTGCTGAACAATTAGAACTTAGATTTATTTGTAAAGTGCAGACATTTCTAGTTTCACACATTTTACTGTTTCTGATCTGATGCTCATTTCAACCTTTTGGTTTTGTTACTTGTTTCAACAGACAGTTTTGGAGCAGCTGCATATACATTGAACCAACTTTGTTCTATTGTGTATCTCACTGTTATCAAAATAAAATTTGCACCTGTATTTACAGCAGCATCATTGACAGATATGTCTCAAAAATAGCATACACTGAGATATTTATCATCACTTTTGGAGAATTTTAGTTTTCTACCTCAAAAACTTGTAATGTTAGAAGTGCCAGAATCTTGCATACAGGTCCTACAAAAACATGGAGTCTAATAGCACATTGAGTACTCATGGCTAGCTAAAACTTTGACTTCTACATGCTTTTTCACACAGTATTTTAGTCCTGGGTGTTAATACCAGAATCACACCACTACTACTGGGTATACTATGACTGCCCATAATTTCTTAGGCTTTATACTGTTGTGGCAATTTCTGATTGAATGGATGGAAACGAGTTATAGTGTGAACTATCAACATATGACCCTGGTGAATTTCATTTTCTCATGAAAAGGGTGGCATTCCCATATATTTGCCTTTTATATCCTTTTTCCTCACTGTTTCCTTAACTATTCCAAATACTGCACATGTGTGTAATAAATTACATTTAATTTTGTGATACAAAACCAATTGTCCATGCACACAACTACAACAGAATTGTACAAACACCAGCATACTCTAGAAATTGGAAGAGAATAATATTTTAATTGAATAAGAAGTTCAGAAAATATTCATAATTTAGGTACTGCTAGTCAAGAGTTTCAAATTAAAACTGTTTTACAGTTACTGAAGTGTAGAATTGAAACTAAAATATGTGAGGGCCTTATATAGTGTAAAACTAGAAGATTTTCTGAATGATGTTTTTTTTTTCATACTAACAGTTAATATTATCCAAGTGATGTGCGAGTAAATGTATTGTTGTGTAGGTAAAACAGCTCAGGTTGTTACAACTGCTTTTGTCTTTTAAACATTAGATACAGAGAATTGTATGAACTTTTTTGCTTTCTGATAATTTGTTTTAATGAAAAATATTAATATCATAGAAATTCCCAAGTTAAAAATGTCTTTTAAAAAATTGTAATTGCATATTTTAAACGATACATCATATACAGTGTGGAATTGACTGCTGTTAAGTTATTCTGATTTTATTTTGTAAAAAAGCAAAGAAATGATAAATCATGAATTATTATTATTTTTTCAATATAGGGTATTACTTGTTCATCAACAGTTCTGAGCATGAACTTGGAGAATATGCTGGAGTTAGCACTCCTGTTTTTAAGGCTAATACTGGCAATTGTCATCTGAGGTTCTGGTACTATATGTTTGGCTCTGATAAGATGGGTCAGTTACAGGTGAGTCTTTCACAAAGAGGAACTTAAAAAAGGGCAGTATGGTCTTGCTAACATGAAAATGATGATTTGAAACAGTATTGGAACTGTAATAATATTTTCTTGCCCCCACCCCCTTCTCTCTCTCTCTCTCCCTTACGAAGGGTGGGGGCTTAAGTAAAATATTTGGATTGATTATTAACTTATACAAAATATCTTTTGCTTAAATATTTTAATTCTAACAATACTTATTTTAAGAGTGTGTTGCTCCAGTATATACATTAAATTATTGAGTTAACAAAGATGTAACATATTCAAAGTTTGTGAGTTTTTTGTAAATCCCTTTCCACTAGAAGTTCCCATTGGACAAGTAAAATTATCTGGAAAATAAACTTTAATGTGATTTTCTTTTTTTCTTATACTGGAAATGCCTCAATTAAGATTAAAACTGGATTTTCAAATGCAAAAACAATTTGTTAAAATGTTTTCTATTTCACCCATTTTTTCAGAAAGATGCTTTGTACTTTTAGAATTTTAACTTTTTAGAACGAGGTGCATTTGATCTCTAGCATAAAAGCCATAGTATTGTGTTGAATTGGCTATAAATTCAGATAACTCACTACAAAGAAGCTTTTTAATACCTAAGAAACTATTCTTTTTACAACAATGTTTTGCAGGATTTCTGGAATCAACCATCTTGGAGTTTTGTCTTTAATGGACTGTTTCTGCCTTTTTATAGCATAGGATAATATTTCAGCTTCTATACTAAGGCATTCTTAAATACAGAAGCTGAAGTGTTCTCCCACTCTACAAACAGTCCATTAAGTCAAAACTCGACTATGTTTATGCTATCTGAAATACCCTTGAAACAGTTTGACCATCTCTTCACCACCACCTAAGCATTGATACTTAATATTCAGTTTCTTCTGATTTTAGGCACAAAAGTTGATTTTTTATCTGCCACTTGTTTTTCAACTGAATCACATTAATTTTTGCACTCTTATCCAATACTTTCCTCTACATTAGTTATACTTCCCCCCCCCCCCCCCCGGTGCTTGGATAATGGCTTTACATGATATATTGGTATCCTGACTTTTAACTTTGGAGTGAGACATGTAGTAGAGTCAGCATTAATGGAGTCTGTACCTGACTATACAGTAAATGATGCCAACTCAAATTGCTTATATAGTTTTTCAAACATCTAGAATGTTCTGGAAATGGAACTTTATATCTTTTCTGCACATTTCATGGAGAAGGTTACATCATTCATCTAAAACAAGATGGTATAAATGAGTAAAAACAGGAATCAAAATACTCGTAATACAAAACACATGGGGTTGAAATGGTACAGATTTGTGGTTACAAAGGATCTTAATAATGAGTGAGGTACTGTGTATCACAGCTTCTCTGGATAAACCTCTGCTGAATAATACAGTTTTGAAGTGTGGTGGAGTACAAACACACCCCAGGTGGTATACAGAGGATTAATATTTAGTTTGAGGTGATATTTTGCACCTATATAATTGCTATTATAGACAGTCAAACTAACTTAGACTGGAAATAGTATAAAATCTGTGTTATTTTGTGGTACTTAGGTGCGAGTGAATGGACTTGGTGGACAATCCTACATGGTGTGGAAAAAAACAGGAAATCAAAAACAAAGATGGCTTTATGCTCATATACTCGTGGGTAGCAGTCAAGATTATCAAATATTGTTTTTAGGATTTGTGGGTGGTGACAACTATACAGACATTGCTGTTGATGAAGTTAAATTTACCAGTGGCTGTAAAGATGGTGGTAAGCTTGTTTTGTATTTTCAGATCTATCCTTCCTTGACTAAAAAAAATTCACAAATGTAATGTAAATTTTATATTTATTCCAAGTTTATTAGATATCCAAGTGTAAAAACTTAATGAACATGTCATTTTTCTAACTACATTAAAATCATTTGTTTCAACTGAACACAACTTCAACAGTCTTAGAATGGTCAGTATAACAGATATCAATTTATATGAAAATTATTAATAATGCTGTAAGGAAAATACAAAAATAGTGCATGTCTTTTGATAATGACACCAATATGTAATGAAACTATTTATAGGTGAACCAGTGACCCCAACTGCTCCAACTTGTAAACAGTCAGAATTTGAATGCTTCAGTGGTAAGATCCAGTGCATCTCTAACATGTGGAGGTGTGATTGTGTGTTTGACTGCGAAGATGGCAGTGATGAGGAAAACTGTGGTATGTAATACATGCAGCTTTCTAATCATAATTTTCAATTTTATTTTTCACCTGTTAAAATGAAGAAAAACAACAACAACATTCTACCATCTAATATTTATTCAGTCTGGGTTAAAGTAGTAACTTTTTGTTGTACAATGTACAAATGGATCTCTGCTGATGTTACCAACTGGCATCAAGAGATTGGAGAGTGAAGAGAGCACAAGTACTGATGTAAAGAATATATTAACAAGTTGTTAATAAGTAGAAATGACCAGAATTGTCAATGGCTGATGCTGATATGGCTCAGTATATAGGTAGTCACCAGAAAAAATATAAATTGAAGTATTAGGTCTCTTGTGGATGTTGTTGAGAATTCTAGCTACTTTTGTGGTATCTCATGTAAATGTTTATAAATTTAAGTGTCAAATTTCAACGTAAAAATTGTAGAAATATTACATCTTCCTCCTCCCCCTTTTAAATTTTTTACTAAAAATTAATTTGTTAATAACTGTAGATATATTTCACAATATATTTAATTTTTCTAATGTAATGCATCTCAATTTATGTAGTAACTTTATTTGTAATACAGCACTGGATACCCCTTTTTTAAGTGAAATGTTAACATTTTCAATTTGTTGCTATTCTCATGTTTTATTATTTAATCTTTCTAACACAAGATTTAGAGTTCAGAAAATTTTTGATATAAAGTGAAAAGTCAAGTCTTGGCTAGAAGAAACATTCATAGGCCTAAACTAGAATCCTTTTTAGTGATATTCATTGGTTATAATTATAGGCTAACAATAATATAAAGTAGTAGCTTGTAAATATATAGATCAATCACAACATGATTATGATTTCATGCCTCTGATCTTTTATGATGAGGAAGCTAATGTACTTTAATTGAATTTTGGGTAGTTTGAAATACAAGATTTTTAAGAATTCTCCTTTTATTATTTCGAATATTCTGGTGAAGGTAAAAAGCTGAAAAAAAAGAAAGCAAAAAGTTACTGAGACCCACTGGCTATAATATTGTACACAATACTATGAAACATCTAATTAACTTACAGGTCTAAATGTTTTATTCAGACTTATAAAGCTCAGACAATAGTATTGTACCATATGCTTTTATCTACAATATATATATATATTAAAATTTGTATATATTTTTGGAAGGAATACAAAAATATAACAATTATCCCTCTTTTAGAGTTGTGTTTCCCCTGTACTATCTACATACGCAGCTTGGGTCACAAGTAATTAGACACCACCTTTTCAGAAAAAAATGAAATTTTTCAGTCATATTCACATGAATTGATATATTTATAATTTAATTAATATCTAGTAGATCTTCCTTTCGCTTCATGGAGTTCGTTGATCCTTTGGGGCATCGTGAGAATCATCTCGTCAATTTTAGATTGTGGGATTTTCGCCCACTCTTGCTTCAAAACTTGGAGTAGATCACTCTTTGAAGCTGTTTTTTTTGGTTGTTTCTTGACTTGCCGGTCGAGTATGGCCCAGAGGTTTTCAATGGGGTTCATGTCAGAAGATTG